TGTCTGATCTATCAACGACAGCCTTCTTTAATAGCCAATTGAGAATTGTATTTTTGGCACTCAAATATTTGTTTGCTGCCTGCGCTCTTTCCCTTTCCTTGGTTTGCCTTTTATGTATTTCGCTCTCCCCGGTTAGAGATAAATATAAAAGATCTATTGTCTGCTGTGCCATATTTATTAAACTAATGAGGCGTTAAGCAGTCGCCAAGTGCCAGATAAGAAACGAATTGGGCTGTGCCAATGGCGGTGCCATTGCCAGTTCCAATGCCAATGCCAATGTCAATGCCTTTGCCAGTGGGTGGTGGCATTGCTGTAAAACGGAAGCTGGAATTTCTGAAATTTTCAATTTGTAGCGAAGCAGAAAAATGGCATCTGATGGGCCTTTTATGGGGCTTGGCGGCTATTGACAAAAGGGCCAACAATTTAAAAGCTCAATGGCTGCGGGCAGCTGTGCGTGCGTGTGCGTGTGTTCGTGTGTGTCACAAGGTGTTGTGCGCTTGTGTATAGGTGTAGCTTTGATGCGCTGGCCGGGGGGCCGACTTGCTTGGCTGGCAATTTTCCGCGCTTGAATTCATTTAATAACGTGCGACACATAAAAAGCAGTTGGCAGTTGCCAAAATCATTGCGGCAAGAAAAAAAAAAAAAAAAAAAAAAAACAGAAAAAATGAGAAGAGGAAGCAACAGCAAGTGAGATGCCAGCAACAAAAGATAAAGACAAAGACAAAATACAAAGGCAAAGACAATGCCAAAGCCAGAGAACAGAAACCAGCAAAAGGTGCGTCGCAGTCACGTGTGTGTGTGTGTTTGTTTGCTTACATGTGCATGCGTTGGCATGTCTGCGTCTGTCCGTCTGTCTGTCTGTCTGTCTGCCTGTCTTTGTGCCGGCGCTGGTGGGTGTCATCAGTGTTGCCATTGCAACATATTATGCTTGTAAAAATTGAATTTTAGTGGCCGGGGCATAAAGTTCTCGTCTGTATGGGCGAGTGCAAGCGAGATAGTCGCATGTCTTTTGGGCATATATTCGCACATTTTATTATTGTGCACAGTACGTGTGTGTACACACACACACACACACACACACGTACTATATGTATGCGAGTGTGTGTAAAATTTAATAATAACGACCCTCTTAAACCAACAGCTTGCCCGCTTTTCTTTATACTCTCTACTCGCGTACATTCCATTCTCACTCGCCGCTCGTCCTCCCACTCTCTCACTCTCTCTCACTCTCTTTTCATTTCTCAGTTTCTTTATTTCTTTATATGTGACGTCGTTCTGTTGTGTTTTGCTTGGATGTTGCTTGCAATCTCTTTGCGTTGACATTTAATGTAATAATTTTTACGATGATGCTCGACGGCATTAAAACGAGATTAAACACAAACAAACGAGGCGCGGGGCTTGGCCAAGAAAGGAAGGAAGTGTGGCAGGAGACAGGCTGTGCGGGCATGCAGTTTGCTACTGGGGCTGGCTATGCCTGTGGATCAACGACAGCGAATGGGACGTATGAACATTTCCTGTTTGATACACTTGAAAATGAACGCCAAAGATATATGTATATGTATGTATATATATATATCGTATATACATATATATATATATATGCTCATAAAAGATGATGTAGCACATAATTACGAGCACGCACAAGAACCCATATGAGCCACGCACTCACACGCACACACACATGCACAAACAAAAATTCATACAGATAATGGTTCAATAAAATAATCTCTTGAGAACACAGAAATATATATGTATATATCATATAAAAACAGTCGCAAATGCTATCGACAGATGCCAACGGGACTTAACTAGCCGTAATGCCTGCAATTGTATATGTGTACTTTTAATAATGTACATATACACACATAAATATATATGCATACATACATTTAAACATACAATTACAGTTTACAGTGCTTTAATTCAGTTTGCCGTCCGATCATCGCTTGGCTGACAGCAACTTTTAAGCATCTGTCAGCTCATGCTTGAGCCATTAATTTCCGAGCGATTGCGCTCAGTCCATGCGCACAATGAATATTTTTTTGATGTCTGCGCGGAATCTTGCTAGTTGTGAAAAGTGCATTTCAAAAGTTTTATCATGCCGAAAATGTTGATAAGTTTGATTCCCGAAAGAACATTAACAGAGCTCTCAGGGATAATTGAAATTTGAAAGCTTGTAAAATATTAGTAATACATATTATACTGACTCAGTAAATTATGTTGAATTAGCCAATTTTAAGTGCAAAATATAGCCAAAGTAAGTGCAAAATATGAGAAGGTCTATCTAGAAATCTCAGATTCTCTATCTGATTATTAATCTATCTGACTGCTTGTCTATCTGTTAATCAGAGTGACTTTTGTCTGTCAGTGTGTATGACTAACCGTGTATCTATCTGCCTGCCAATCTGTCTGTCTGTTTGTCAATCTGTCTGTCAATTTATTTGCCTATCTGTTTGTCTGCCTGCCGATCGGTCAGTATATCTATCTATCTGTCTCTTAAGCTATCCCTTTACCCGTAGGTCAATCTATCTGTCAATCTGTCGTCTTATCTATATGTCTGCAGATCTGTTTGCCGATCTGCCAGTATATATCTCTATCTATCTGATAGACTATATATATCTATATGTATCTCTATCTGTCTATCAATCTCTCTATCCGACTGTCAATCTATCTAGCAAGCTGTCTAACAGTATAATAATATGTCTGTCTCGTCTAACAGTGTAATAATATGTCTGTCTAACTGTCTGCCAATCTGTTTTTCTATCTGTTAGCCCGTCTCTCAATCCTTCTGTTAATATGTCTATTCACTCTATCTCTCTCTCTGTAAATTTGCTTGTCAATCCGCTTGTCAAATTCCCTGTCAATCTGCTTGTCAATCGCTCCTTCCATCTTTCTATTATTATTTCCAAAGTCGATAATTATCGATTATCAAATATCATTTATCGACTACTTCTAACAGTCATATGATCCCTGACGTTTCATTTAGTAATCATAGATTCAGGTTCAGCAAAGTGTTCCAGCTCACACATACACGTATATTACATATGTATGTGAGACAAACTCGAATAACAAATGTTTAATATATCAGGAGTGGAGGCTCGAATATCTGTCAAGTTCTGGTGTGGAGCAATTTGGTTCACGTTACGGCCTTGTGGTTCGTTTGATATGTGATTTTATTATATGCGTACATGTAGGTGACTGTGTGTATGTGTACGTGTGTGCACTGTTAGCATTGTCAAGGACATTCGTTTCGAGTATCCTATTGTTATATTGTGTTAATTTTGTTTGATTTGCTGCTGGCTGATTGCAGGCCTCAACTAACATGGCTAAAAAACTTTTGCGCAGCTTTGTGGCCAAAAAAAAAAAAAAAAAAAAAAAAAAACAAAAAAAAACCAAAAAAAAAAAAAAAAAACAACAGCACGGGGGCAACAAGTGTCAAGGAGTGACTAGTGTCATAAGTAAATGAAAAAAAAAAAAAAAAAATAGAAGAAGTGTAAGTAGAAGCAAAACTAAAAAAAAAGAAAGGCGAAAACCAATGCGAACAAAGCGAAAGTTGCGGGCATTGTGTGTGTTTAATTTGCTTGCCTGCCTTATTGTTAGTTTATTTATTTTCAAGCAAAGCCCTAAGCTCCTCAAAAAGCTGACAATGCGCTGCTCATGTGTGTGTGTGAGTGTGTGAATATGTGATTCTGTTCTGTGAGCGTTGTTTTACGCTTGAGCGCACAGGCAAAAGCCAAAAACAAAATGGAAATCAAAACGAAAACGAAAACGAAAACGAGAATGTTACAGTGCCTGCCCTCAAATGAAAATGAAAATGAAAATGCGATGAAAATGTTTGGCCAAAGGCACTCGCTGAGCCACTCTGCTTCCCTCGCAACCCCCCTTCCCCCTCCTTCCAGGGGGCGTGGCCAATAATAAAAGGGATAAAATCATAAGCCCAAATTTATGGCACTCGACAGCCCGGCAACCCAGAAAACCGAGCAGCCGGGCAGCCCAACAGCCCAACAGCTCGGAGTCAAATTGTATGTGTGTAATGGATCAAGTTTATTTATAAGGCTGCCGCAATCGTTCGCTTCAACACTTCAATTCTGGCAACATGAGGGCAAACAATATTACGCATACGCAGCGTTGTTCGTTTGTACAGCGACAAAACCCGCCCCCCTCCTGTACGAGAGATGAGGCAGTGAAATAAGCACCATCGACAACTGGATGATGAAGTGTTATTTAAATATAAATATATTATCTATCAATAAGCCGCCTAGACACACGCACAAAAGCCACCAAAATGCTGAAAACGTGAAAAGCATTTTCCCGCATCAAATCTTCAAATTTGATGCCATTATTGTGTTTGCTTTTTTATGAACTCTCTCTCTCTCCCCTCTCTCTCTCTCTCTGTCTCTCCGCATATATGTGAAGTGGGTGTGCCTGTATTCGTGCGTCTGGCTTAATAATAAAGTGATTGCCTACTTTGGGTAACAAACGCCTTCGGGCAGCGTTCCCTCGTCTCTTATTAAATTATGCGCGTTTGATGCCGCACAAATTCAGTTTTGCCCGGCTCGCATCTTTTCTAATTTAATGCCCATGTCTGTGTGTGTGTGTGTGGTGCTTCGCTCTAAAATTGCCAATCGATAATTGACAGGCGATAGTGTTGGTTAAGTGCTAACAAACGGATATTCAATTACGCGCGGGGATATTGAAATTATAAAAGGGAAATTCGATATGAGCATGATGCCTGATATGGAGCATGTGGATTCATATACGATTAATTTAGATGTGGTAGGCGGAGTATTTATTTTAAGATGAGAGAGATCAAGCAAGTAAATGGCAATATCAGACGATGCTTGAACTTGGCTAATAAGCAAAGGCAATATAAGGTGAGGCGAGAGCTTTGCCTCTAGTTCAGTTAGAGCAAGCTCCATTGATTGAAATCAGATCAAACTCTCTGTTAATATGTATATGTAATTCTAAGAGAACTCTAACATAATGCAAATTTAACTTACATGCTCAGTCGCTCTTTGAGTCTTTGATCTTGCTAAGTCGTTACGGATTTGATATAGATTATCTTCTCAATAGTGAATCTGCTTGTGCGTGGATAGCTCTATGTATTGCTGTATATATTTAAAATAAATTTATATATACATCAATCATCCATGGTTAACAGCAAATTTGTTGGAATTTACCGAACCTCGAACGCTTTTGTTATGCAGAACAATTTTGCCAGCTCCACACGAGTTTTATTTATTTAGATTTTTGTTAATTTTATGCTGCTTATTATCAAATATATTCACTTGTAAAAATATCCGTAAAGCGAAAATAGCTCAAATCAAACTTTGACAGGAAATTCAAAAACATGTTGATTACATTTCTCAAAAAAAAATCTTTTTTTCATCAGAAGAAGAAGAGCAGTAAAAGCTAGAGCATGGCTAGCTTGAAATGAACAAGTCGGGCGTACACGACTGCAGAATACTCATTCACGGCACTAATCCGGTCAGATAAATTTTCATATCTGCCAAACCCATGAATCACTCTATATGCATTGGATGTCATATGAGCGAAGAGCAGGATACAACCAATATACTCAACTGACTTTCACTTGAGTGAGTATACAATATCAAATCAATATCCATATAATAATAATAATTATAATTGAGGCACGTCAAAGGCATTGTTAGTTAATAGAAACATAATTTGAATGGAATTAAGCGTTAATGGCTGCGTGCACTGCAATTGAATGCTGTTCGAAATTACTTTTAATTAAAACAACATAAGAGCTAATTGAAATCACAAATTAAGCTTACACAACTGCTGCTGCTGCTGCTGCTGTTGCTCCTGCTGTGCTGCTGCTACAACTCCTGCTGCTCCTGCTCTGTGCTCAGCTGCATCATTTGCATAAAATATATACATATTTCATTGATTTACTTGTTGCGCCTCGAATCGCAATGGCTCTGGCTTCGGCTTTGGCTTTGGCGTTGGCTAGTGGCTTTGTCCAAGAAATTTGCTCATTCGCTTGAGTGGAGCAAATTGTTTTTAAAGCCACTCGACAGAATTCGAATTTAAATTCAATTCTTTTGCCAGCTCATTTTTATTTTTATTTTTGTTTGCTATTATTTTCATACATATTTAGCTATTTTTATATTCCCATCGAGAAAATTGCAAGGGATATACATATATATATATGTACATTTATATAGATAAAAAGAATATAAATATATGTATATAATAGATTATGTTGCGCAGGCCGCAACAAAATTCCCATTTTGTTAGAATGCAAATTAAAATATTTATGCAAATGCGAGCCAAGGAATACAATAAATTATGCCATACCAGCAAAGGAATAAAGCCAACAAAAAAAAAAAACAACAAAAAAAGAAGAAGAAGAAGAAGAAGAAGCAGAAGAGAACCAGATGAAGTAGAAGAAGCAAACTGAATTTATAAAGAAAATAGGCAAATGGGCACAGCGGAGCGACAGGCACGAAAACAATTACCTGTTACATGACGAAGAAGCCAATCCCCTTCGCCCTATTATGATTATTATCATTGTCATTAGCATTATGATTATTATATTTATCATAAATGTTGTTGGCGTCTGTCACAATAATTTGCTGGCTGTAAACAAGTTTTTCGAAAGAAAGCAAACAAACAAACGAGCCGAACCAAATTTCGATACACACAAAAGTTAGCCAGGAATCCGTGACAATGTCGCTGCTAAAAAAAGAACGAGCAAAACGGAAGCCGGAAATATGCAAAGCCAGACGCAAGTAAGGCGAGAGAAGCAGTTGGACAATGGATACGCATTCGCATTCGCATTCGCATTCACATTCGCATTCGGCCCACTCGACTTGCAGCAGTTGAGAGTCTTTGCCACACTCTGATTGTTTTATAGGGCTTGATCACGCATACGCCCCGTTTGCCAGCTACTTTAAGCAGTTTGCCAATTAGGTGCCGCTTCAGCTGCTGCTGCTGCTACTGCTGCTACTGCTGCTGCTGCAATAGTAATAAGAATAATAATAATAAGAGCAAGCAGCAGCATGAGGGCAACGGCAGCTCTACGAGAAAGGGGTGGAAAACAAGGCAACACCTTTTTATGGCCGTCTAAAGAATTTAATTAATGCAAGTCTCGTGCGCGCTTTGAAATAAAAGCGCCCTGCCACGCCCACTGCCAGACAGCCAGGGCGCTCACATACCCACGGCAAGTGGAAATTAAAAAGGGAAACGCAAAAAGCGACGCAACTAAAAAATTAATAAATAAAACTGTTAAGCACCAGAGAGAGAGAGAAAGAGAAAGAGAGAGAGAGAGAGAGAGAGTTAGCCGAATGCTGAATGCTCTAAATGGAAGTTGAAATTGAAATATATATAAATTGAAATTGAGTATATATATATTAAATACTGGAATTTGCATTACTCTAACTGCAAGTTGAGTATATAGAATTGCAATAATTGACAACTGATATATAAATAATATGAAATAAATCAGTGAAAAATAAATTTAATTAAATAAAAAAAAAACAAAAACATAGATTAAA